ATATATATATATATATATATATATATATATATATATATATATATATATATATATATATATAATACTGCCTTTCATTTATGATATTAGCTTAATAATTGAAGACAGCAAGTAGAAATCTCATGGAAAATATGGAAATAAGAACTGTGAAGCCAAATTTCTCAAAATTCATTACTTGACATTGACAAGGCCTAAAGCGTTGCTATCAACTCGTCGTAATAAATACATATTTATGCCGAATGAGAACATGCGAGAAAGTAACTGAAATTAGTGGATGCAATTTAATTCTATGGTTAAATTTTTGATTACTCCTAACTTATCCTATAATCTTTTGGTCCTCAAAGTGCGACTACCGACGTTAATGAGAATGAGAAGTGAAATTGCTGAGAATCTAACATATATCTGAATAGCTGGCTACAGCTGTTTAACCAACCTTGTATAAGAAATTAGTAAATGCAATTTACTTATAATGACTTGACAAAACTTTAATTTAATGTAATTTATGATGCTTGAAAAGTACAGAAATCTCAGATATCGTAAACCTGTCCACTGAAATTGTGCATGAAAGACGACACCACCGAATCCATTACAGAAATCGAGGATATATCAATCAGCTCAAACTACAAGCCTTGTTTCAGCAACGTGATCGCAAATCAGAGCTATATTCTTAATTGGAAATAACATTATAACATATTATACGAGCTTCTTCCATCACTTCTGTAAAGTAATCGTTACAGTCTGGAACTTCTGAAGAATAAAATTCCTCAAAGAAAAAAATGCAAACAAATTTTGATCCTAACTACGTGCCCGAAAGCATAACTTTCGAGTTACACAAGAAATATTCAAAAGCGCATCATTCGGTGACCAGTAACTAACTTCATCCAATTTTACCTTTTACCTGTTTAACAACTTTGTTTCTCGAAATATGTGTAACTCGAAAAGTGTCGCTCCACGATGATATCTATATGTTTCGTAAGCACTTCGAAATAATACAACTTTCTCACTTTGTATTTCGGAATTTTTATTTCGGTACGAAATTTTAAAAAAAATTTGCGAAAATTTAAATCAGAAATATAAGAAAGTAACGATGAATCCCGATGTGATCAAGTAAAGGCTAAACGAATCAATTTTCAGTCAAACTGGTTGGTAAAATGTGAAATATAACAAATACAACATAAAAGTGAAACACAATATTCAATCTAGAGCAAAATATATCTCTTACTTCTGAATAACACTAATTGTAGTAACTTGATCCCTTCAACTGATCAGTAATAATTAGGTTTATTATTATTTATCAATATTGGTGGAACTTTATGTTACTGACATTTTCATAACAGAATAGATGGCTATTAATAAATAATGTTTGCTTATGAAAATAACAAAGTAACCCAAATATCCTCAACATATCAAAGATGGTGCATAAATCGAGCACGGTAATAACGTAAATACTTCGAAACTGTAATTCTTTTTCACTTAAATTTAGAAAATATAATCCAAAAGAACTACTAGCTCAAATATGCTAAAAGTGTTTCAATCGGTTAAGGATCGCATGTTGGAAATTTCACACAAATTTCAAAAGTGCTTATTAAAAACAGTACAAAATGACATTTTCTTTTGGGCAGAAGAAAAAATATAAACAGCCATAGAAATGGGTGAAGAAGTTACGTTGTCAATAGCAATTTTGAAGCAAAATTTAGATAAATATTCAAGAATCATTTTGCAAGTTACCTTAAAAAAGAAGAAAAGAAAATGATAAAGTAGAAAGCAGAAAATGATTATGCAGCGAAATTAACCCCATGCTTGTGTCTTGCTATAATTGATAACTAATTTTGAATCACCGGGTGCGAAACATTCCTTTAAATTCCGCACTGTTTGATCCGGTGACGGTGCAAAACACTGGTTGATGAAAAGCAACAAGGAATCGCTGTCATTAAGCTGAAATCTTCGAAGCATTGCAACAGAATGATTCTAATTATAAATTGTTTACTATAAATAGTGCTCATCAGGAATGCGAATGCAAAATGTGTGTTCGTAATAAGGGTAGGAAGATAACGGACAAGATGCTTCCATCGGAAGGGTTACTCGAACTGCCAATGTTCCTTCACCTTGAAGGAATACTTTGGAATGTAAGTTCCCCTGCGTATTAGCGTTTTCTAACATAACTGTCACCGTTATCTCAATACTTCTTCAAATTTTGCTTAAGATACAGTCAATTCCTGCAGAAAATGCATAAAAACATTATGCAAGTAGGTATGCATAGCCAAAGAACAAGTCGGTACCTTCATATAACTTCGCAAAAAAATGCTTAATTCCGCCACTGTCTTCCTTTCGTCAACCGTCCATTTGTTTTGCTTGAGTATTGGTGCATCACCAACTGCTTTCAATAAGATTTCGACCTTCGCACTTTCGGCCATTCCTTACAATTTATCAATAAAATTATATAGAAAACTAAAAATCAGAATTATCCAATCAATCAGAATAGCTTATCTGTTAATGCTGACACGTTAACATAAAATGTTAATATGTTTAACATAAATAAATATGAACAGACAATTATAAGAGTATCACACACGACTACCACACTTAATCCTTCTCTCCACTAAGAGAAACTAGATGTTGGATGCGGTTTTGAGATTCCGGAATGCATGATCTCTGAAACGTTCTAGAACTGGGATTTTGAAATTTTGAAAAAAATTAGTTTTAAGCTACAAGTGGTAACTATAAATACCTTAGGCAAAAGTCCACAATTTGTACGGTACAAGGATTAAAAAAGCACAAACACCAAATATCGCACAGTTGAACAGTAGTCGTTCCCACGGTTCGAGCATATACAAGCCCGTTATAAGGCAGTACTGCCTATAGTGCCAGGAAAATAAGGTATCCTGAAAAAAGTAAACCAAGTACAGTTTGGCAGAATAAATTACACGTTGCTTTTCTTTTTTAAAAAAAGTATTGACTCTTCCTCTGACTGCTATGCAACTCATTTTCAGGAAACAAATGAAAAGTTTCAAGGAACTCAAGGTCACATGTCCTCTAATTAAATTATAATTAAGGCACATTTTAGAGAACTACTGCTTCATATTTTCACCAGTGATTCAATTTGCATCCCAACTTGTATGTTATCATTAGCAAGTTTTACCGTTCTCTTTGGGATTACTGTCAGCACAAAACCTCATATCTACCTACAATATGCCAGCCGTATTACGGTGCGTTAAAACATTAAATAACGTTTTCTGGCTCATGTGAAGGGTGACAGTAAACCGTCCACACAGTAGAAAATTTAAAGCATGTTTCCGTGATGATTCTAATCCATAAATCACTATAAGTATTAACCTTAGCTATGGTACTGTCGTGTTCGTTTCGTCTCGTCTCATACATTCAACTGAAGCGGATAATCTGAAAATCACATACTCCCAAAAAAAACTGCAGTCTATTACACGATATACATTACGGCTGAAAGTTAAGAAAAAAAAGTGTTCTTTTCGCACTAAACTTGTTAGGATAGCGTAACTAACGTGTGCGTTTATATAGCGCAGTTGAAATATGGGATAATTAAGATGACACAGTTAACAGTTCATGCTACTTACACGATCGTAGAATAGATAACCTGTACAAAAAAATTTGTGAAGATAAAGTGAAGGATATAGCGTATAGGCATATATGATAATGCAAATAATTTCCGTTACAGATTAGATTGCCCATCTCACTTGAATGGAGAGTGTAAGATATTGAAGATGAAGCATTTCATAAAGGAGGAGACATAATGACATCATGGAAGAGAACATTAAAGTTAACGACAGAGTAAATTTAAAGGAAACGTGAAGGAATCCCCAAAATTACCAAGTGCAACAAAAGAGAAAATATATCCATCAGGAGAATGTGCCAACATATTGGCGTAGCCCAGAGAGATAACTTGGTGTCAGACCAACCCATATATTACATCTCGGGATGTTGACGCAAGTTGTTCCATTCTTGCAGATTTACTTCATCTCCCAATTCCGGTGACCCATAACACTTTTTCAGTTTATATTATCATTGACTCATACAGTACTCTCCTATGCTTTCAATCTTCAGAACTTGCATTTTTGTTATTCTTTTGCAGATTTTCTTAACTTCATACAGTGTTCGCAAGCTATCTTGCAAATTTCTTCAACGTTTGTATGTTTTAGCGCACGTGTTCAAGTACAATGGGACTTTGCAAATGTGCGAAAAAAAAAGTAACAAGTTTATTTTGTTTCGAACATCGAGTCAACGTTTGCGAGTATTGTTTAGTGGAGAATCATTGCAAGGTAAGCCGTTGCTGTTACCCGTTACCCGTGAAGTTATATTGACATGTGAGTTACGTGTACATGATGATGATGTTACTTAATTGTAGCGGTGCTTAGCCTTCTTTCCTTCGTATGGTATTGCAGATTATCAAGTAACAGCCAGGATTTGAATCTCAAATTATCAATGATATAAGGCCAGAAAGCTCTATAAATTGTGCAGGGCTTTGACAGAATGCTTTTTTTTAAACCTGAAACGAACATTATATGAATTGATGTCTTTTTTGTTGTCAAAGGAAGTGATATGTCTTTTTATTTCCTTAAAGCACCCTAATTCATAAACTAAGGAAGAAAAATAAAAAATGAAATGAGAATAAAAATCGGATTTCAGTGTGTTGTTCAAAGCTATCTGTCGTGGTTGGCAGATAGTGATTATGATACGAACTGTGCTCTGTGTTCCACACCATTAGAATCCAAGGAAACTGTTCGCTTGAAATGTTTACGTATGTCTTATTTGTTGCACTGTTATGTGGTAAGATGGAAGTCATGTCTCTGACACGCCTGAATTATCCAGTTTTGAAAATAGAAGCCTCGTAAGTATTGTGTTAAAATTATATATGACACAAAATCTAGGTTCTAAATTAGAAGAAGGCTCAGATTATCACAAAACAACTGTTTGGTAAATCATTGTTTACCTTTGAGGTTTTCCTTTTTCAGATCTGTTCCACTGGGAATGTTTAGATGCATGGGCACGTCGTTTACCAGGAAATACAGCCCCAGCTGGCTATAAGTGTCAGCAGTGTCAGGAGGGTATATTTCCAGCTCCTAACCAAGCATCACCAATTATTGAACGCCTACAAGCCACGTTGCAGAAGGCAAATTGGGCTCGAGCTGGTCTTGGATTATCCTTGGTGGGAACTAGATTTTTTTATCTTCTAGTAGTTTTATTCTTCACAGTTCTTGAGTACATTTTCCATGCGCATATAATTGAGTCGCACAGTTTAAAAATCTTGTGGATTTATATTTGCACCGCTTAACTTATTTTGAAAATTTCGAATCTTCTTTATTAAATATTATGTTATTGAATGCTTATTGGTCACTTGGCAAATTCTCTTGTTGAAGTTTTCTAAACCCAAACTTATCCTTTGTTCCTCTTCACATAATTGACTTATTTCATTCAGTTGCCAGAACTTAACAATTCGCCAGCACCTGCGTCATTCATTCCGTCGATGATAACACAACCTGTAAATGAACCGCAGAATTATCCGAATGAACACGATTCTTTGAATGAAACGAACCTTAACGTTGGCAGTATTCGGAATAATACACCAACAACAGTGGTTAATGTAGATGGCGAGTATAGCCAACAGGAACAACATCAATTTACTGGTTGGTTTTTTGGTTTGAATCAAGTAAGTGAATAATGTGAGTAAGCCTTTTTTTGTAATTTTCATTATCGTTGCATGTTTTACGAGCTTTAAGTGATTTACTGGAACTAATCATCAGCAGTTTTTATTTCTGAGTAAACCTCACAGTTGTTCCTGGTGTTATTATCATCACTATGTTATACCTTATCAACCTTTTCGTTGTTTCAAATCTTAAAGTTATCTTACTGAAATGGAACTACATAGACCTAAGCTGATATGTTTGCATCACTGATGTTCCCCATATTCGCTTTTTTTTTCAAGAATGTGCAATTGATCGTTCAGCAGTATCTACCATGAGGATTGTATGATTCAAAATTGTTTGTGTTACTGTTTACTTTTTTTCAGCGAGAAAACCTACAAATATGAGTGAAAATAATTATGTGGTCACAAATCCTCTGCTGCTTTCAAAAGATCGTGATGAAGATTTGCCGGAAAACAAATATAAACGAAGATCAGCTAGTGAGTGGCTAAATCGCTGGTTTAGGTTCGTGAAATTTAATTTAATTCTTGTAGTGTTTGTGCACACTTAATCCACAGGAATATTTTTGCGTATTAGATAAGTAGATTATTTTTTAAAATGAAATTAATAGCCAGAGAAACTTAAATATCGAAAACATTTGGTCTCTTTTCAGATCACGATACGGAAGGCGTCCTATCTTTGATCCTCGTGCAAAGTGCAAGCGTGGAATTTTCTGCATTATAATTTGTATTATAATAGTTATGACAATATTTACCGTACTTTCACGCTTGATGAGTAATCGATCTAATGACGATCCAGCTTTCAATCCTCTCGCTAATCCAAACATTCGTATTGCATTTCCGGAACATAGTCAGTAATATTACTTGTGATGGTTTTTATTTTTTATGAAGTGTTTTTACTCAAAGCAATTATTGATAAAGGCTAAATATTCAGAAGATAGAAGAAGAGGAGGTTTTGTAGTTGTGATTACAAAGCTTTTTTAATTAATTGATGTTTTTTCCACTTTCTACTGGCAATTTTACACTTTATAACATTATGTTTAGGTACAAATGTTCATATTTTCTTTGTTATGTAACATTAAACATCTATCAAAGGGCTAAATATCGGATATATGGGATGGAATGATTTGATGAATACTCTCATGAACTCGTTCGCAAGATCCGTAGAAAAAGATTATGTCTAGCCTTTAGTGATATCATCACTAAGAGACTTGTCGAATGACCGAACAGTTAGCGAGATGAGAAAGATAGAACGTCTATCACATGTAATCTTAACTGCTTTTAAGAAGGCTGTATGAGTGAAAGAACTGTTTGATTTTAAGCTACTTTTATAAAGGACCTGAGGAGCAGTAATTCTAGCCGATAATTTTGAGTTAGAAGTTGAATGTGAATTAATATTTCAGTCAATTATTTCATTACTTTTTATTGTACAAGTGATGCTTTCATTCCTTTTTCGAACTAGGCTTTTCGATTAAGCTGAATCATTTTAGTCGAAGTTATCAAGCTTGATAGCAATCCTGACTAAACTAACATACAATACATTCAGTTTTTCATTTTAATTGTTAACATTGTTAACAGTTAGCTAGTTCGAATGAAATCACGACTTATTTTTTGCAAGTTTTCTACTGTAATGATTGTATCGGAATTATTTGGTAATTAAGGGTATAAATTAGAACTGTGATACAAGAATTTTCGTTGCAGCATTCTGTTTGCCTTGGTTAAACGATTTTGACGATTATATCTTATGCTTTTGACTGTATAGTAAATAAAACTGGATTTTTTAGTAACTTTAGTGTGGTGTATGAAAGATCAAGTTATGGAAACTCATCTACTGATACTTCAAAATCATTAAAATTTGTTTTAGCGCTATTTCATTGTAAATCACGTTTAGTTATATCTTCCACAGAATCGGGATCAATCTTTTTTTTTAGTGTTATTAGGTAATATTATTACTTTTTGGTAATGTTATTAGGATAACATGTTTGTGACATTTTCACTAAAATGGTGAAAATTATTTATGGTTGCTCGAAATTAAGCAATGTTTCCAAATAATTTTAATGAAATCCAACTCTTCACAAGCAGGGAGATGATGCAGATGGCATCGGGTACAGGCTTGGCTCGATTAACTGCCGGCAAGTTGCGACTGGTTAGTTTACCAACTTGTCGTGGGCAACAAACAACAGCATCAAGGAAGGTTGAAGTATTCATCAACGATAGAAAAGTACTTGTTGATCCGGGGACCACTATATTGCAGGTTTGTGCTACTGTTTTTATCTCGCGTGTTTACTGTTTCTTTGTTATTTTTAAGTGTTACAGATAGATTCCATAATTTCAAAACAAATAACGATCTAATGATTTTCGACTTTTTCGTTTTGAGAATGCACATTTTAATGTAATTGGTTTTATGCTTGTACACCCACTTAACGTTCACTGCTTTGCATTTCTTCTGTCACGCACTGAGGTTGAGGTTGTACTGACAGTTAGATATTATAATTCAGTATTGTTCCAATAAATATATGTTTACTTTTGGAGAATATAATTGCAGGCAGCGTCTTTGCTTGGTATTGATATTCCTCGCTTCTGCTATCACGATCGCCTTTCCATAGCCGGCAATTGCCGCATGTGTCTAGTAGAAGTGGAAAAACAACTGAAGGTAGGACTTTGATCCCTGATTTCTAGGATTTACATTAGAATTGATGCTCAAGGTTATCGTCGAGCTTGATTTTGATTCAGATTGTCAAAGTATGATTTCTGTTCTTGTTTTATTCTTTATTTTGATTGGATTTTATCTCTGCCACTAAACTACAGCCAGCAGCATCATGTGCTATGCCTGTTGCGAATGGCATGAGAATACAAACGAATTCACCGATGGCAAAGAAAGCTCGTGAAGGAGTAATGGAATTCCTGCTTTTAAATCACCCACTTGACTGTCCGATTTGTGATCAGGTACATTAATTAGGAGCAGTAAAGTGCCTAATAATTTTTATTTGTTTTGGGTGAACGAGAACCAAATATTAGGATTCGATTTATCCTCCAAAATAGGCTTGTTCAGCAGGTCATGTGATTTATACATGCTGATTTCCATTATGCTGGGAATTCTGCTGTTTTAAACGCAGTGACAAATAAAGAAAATACTCAATAGAGGCTGCACTTTTAAAGAGATGGAATTGGCTTCCTTGATATCAAAAAAAAGAAAGCAACGCTTGGACTTCATGTATGAATTTATAATATTTTTAGGGTGGTGAATGTGATTTACAAGACCAGTCGATGGGATTTGGCTCAGATAGAGGTCGTTTGGAAATTGTATATGATGGCAAAAGGTTTGTTAAGGGATCGTTCTTAATATCTAAAAATTTAATTGTTTTAGAAATAGAACTTAATTGTTTTAATGAACTAATGCAATTCCGAACATTCCATTATTATAGCACAGGAAGTTGTTTGTTCGAAATCATCTGTGTCCCCAATTTTTAGAGCTGTGGAAAACAAGTATATCGGACCACTGATAAAAACAGTAATGACTCGATGCATTCAGTGTACACGCTGTGTACGATTTGCCAATGAAATAGCAGGCGTTTCAGATTTTGGTACTACTGGGCGTGGAACTGATATGGAGGTTCGAATTTTCTTCTTGGTTTACATTTGTTTGTTCTTTTAGCTACTACATACTTGTTAAACATATTCACTTCTTTTTGTTATCCTTTCTTATGAGCGCTTAATTATTTATGAAATCTTGTCAATACTAGTACAATTTAAACGAAAAAAACTTTGATATGCACTGTACAGAATACGATCTTCTACTATGTAATACACTTTCTAATATGTAGCTTAACTTTTAGTATGTAATCAATACGCAAATAATAGTTTTTAGTACGTAATCGATACGCAAATGAGAAAAATTTGTTGTTCGGACGGAAATTAATTATTTTCAGATTGGAACCTATGTTGAGAAGTTGTTCGCGACGGAGCTGTCGGGTAATGTCATTGATATATGTCCAGTTGGCGCTCTTCTTAATAAACCGTACAGGTATATACTTCTTTGAACTGCTATGTAGCCTGTATATTCTTCATAGCGTTCTTGATTTCTTTATGAGAGTTATTTCAGCTTTACAGCTAGGCCATGGGAGTTGCGTAAAGTAGAAAGCATCGACGTTATGGATGCCGTTGGTTCAAACATCGTAATTGCACATCGAACTGGAGAACTGTTCCGAATTACTCCAAAACTATGTGAGGTAGAGAAATGAATCATTTAAATATGGTTCCTTTGTTGACAGAAGTTTTTTTGTTTACTCACTTGATTTTCTAAACCCAGTGCTGTTTTTTTTCTCTATTTTTTAAAGGATATTAATGAAGAATGGATAAGTGACAAAACACGTTTCATCGTGGATGGTTTGAAAAGGCAACGACTTGGACAGCCATTGTTACGAACTCAAAATGGTTCTCTAGAGTAAGTTTGCATTCGTTTTTTTTTTTTTTTTAACAAAGTGCTAATACATATTCAGTTATCGATAGATTGATATTAAACATAATTTAAAACTGTCCACGCCCATATTTGTCTAATGCCATCATCGGGAGCACCACTTGATAAATTGTGATATTAGATGATCACATAATGTAGAAAAAAAGGAAAAAAAACCAATGAATCCTTCATTAATAAACTCATTACTTTGTAGGCCATGCAGTTGGGAGGAAGCACTCTTTGCTGTTGCATCGAAATTGCGCGCTACTTCATCAAATCATATTGCTGCATTAGCAGGAGATCTTTGTGATACAGGTTCTCCTTCATTTATAAAATGATTCGGTCTTTGTTTTTTAAACTTCAGACAAATTTTAAAAATTAGGAAAATTTGTTGTCACAACAGTATTTTGGCTTTCACACACTCCACTTCAGACAAATTCTAAAATTAGAAAAATTTGTTGCCACAACAATATTTCGGTTTCACACACTCCTGTATATCATATTTTCATATCTTAAATATATTTACTTGCTCACCTTTTCAGAATCATTGGTAGCTTTGAAAGATCTGATGAATCGATTTGATAGTGAATTGGTTTGCACGGAAGAATCGTTCCCAGACGGCAGTGGCGGGACAGATCTTCGGTAGCTTTTAGGGAATATATGATTAACAGTAGAAAGCTTGGTAAAATAAGAATCAGAAAATATTCCTTGTCTTTTGGTTAAATTCTTTGTTGATTAGGAATCTGAAACTTTTGGATTTTGCTGGCCAGTAGTTTTCTGAACTTAACATTTTTGCGAAATATATCCCTAAATCTTTTACATTTTACATTCCTCGTTTTTAGGACATTTTCAGCTGTGATACATGAAACAATTCCCAAATTTGACAATCTCAGGCCGACAAATTTTTTAGTATTAATCGAACTGAAAGGTAGGTTCTTTCAGATGCAATTATGTTATGAATGACAAATTTATTGGGGTAGAAAAAGCGGAAGTTCTATTGTTGGTTGGTACAAATCCGCGTTTTGAAGCCACAGTTTTCAATGCTCGCATACGGAAAAGGTATGACAAAGTGTTTGCTGTTATTCTTAATGAATTTTTATGTTTTTTCAATATTATTGATGGGAAGCAGCTCACTTTTGTACAATCGTTTTACAACTTTTTTTTTCCAATTCTATGGGGTTTTAGAGCGGGGTTTACTTTTTCGTAGTGTTGAAATAAATTTTATTGAAACGAGTCAAAATCATTCCAGACTTTACACATTATCGACAAACAGGTTTTTTTCGCTATTCAATTAGTTCATGTAGGTCTATGTCTGAAGAAATTGAAACATGAAGCTGCACCACTTCCACTGCGCATACAACAATTGACACGATTCCAAACCACTAAAGCAATATCTTTTAGCTTTCGACACACGAATATAGAAATTGGTGTTATCGGCGAAAAAGTTGACTTAAAATATGATTATAAATATTTGGGTGACAACGGGAAGATTCTGGATGATATAATCAGTGGCAAAAATGAATTCGCTAAGGTGAGTAGCTTTAGCTTCTCTTCTGAATTAATCTAGGTTTGTTTTGGCGACATTTTTGTAACATTTATTAGTGATGACTTCAGATTTACTTCAAAATATGTTTGTTTAGCATTTGCAAGCAGCCAAACGGCCAATGATTGTTGTTGGCTCAGGCGCTTTACAAGGAAATCATGGTGCTGCATTACTTGGCAAAATTCAAGTATTCGCTGAAAAATTGCGATCTAAAACCGGAAAAAGTAGTAAATTTAAAATTTAAAGGAGAAAGTAATGAATTTTACTTAACCAGCCTGACCATTATTAATTCCTGTCTTTTCTCGAACTTAGACATGTTTTCATAGTAAGGTAAATTGTGGTTTAATGATGGATGAATTACTTTGAGATATTATATCTAATTTCGTATTTTCCCTATTTCAAGATAATGGTGCAGTTTTTTGTTTTTACAGTTACAGTTTTTTTGTTTTTTTTTTTTTTTTCACTNTGTCTACGCGTTATTGCAGACT